ACGTAGAAGTCGAAGAGGACTTGTACGAAGGCCCGGGGCCTGACGGAGGAGAAACCGACGAGCGCGTGCTCGACGAGGAGGGATTTGCACCCCTCTGAAGGTCATGTAGAATCCCGGACGTTGGGGTCCGCGGTTTCGCTGCGTTCACGCCATCTTCCTGCTCCTACCTCCCTAGGGCTTCACACGTGCACGCAGATGACTCTCGCCCAGGGACTGAAGCAGCACAGTGGGGCCCCTCTTCTTTGCTTATTTCTGTGTGCAGGTCTTGGAGCTTGGACCCCCGGGCCCTACTGTTTTACATAGTACGGAGCATTACGACAAGGAGGCAGCACCGAGATTACGGACAAGGGATCGTAATCTATGACTACACTGTACGCTAGCACCGTACGCCCTGTATACATTGCACACCGGATCATTATATACGTGCACACCCTCGCGGCTGCTTCGATGGCGGAGGATCGCGAGGGCCTCACGATGCCTCGCGAGACTCCGCAATGCAAGGCCGGATTAACCGGTGCGGATTTGAAGCGCCCAGATTTCGGGGGATTTACTGATGAAGAAGGGCAGAAACAAGAGTCGCAGGCAGCGGCAGGCTCGCTGTCACCTGGTGGCCGCGGAGAAAGTTGCATCATCATGAAGTCAGAAAACATTTATACACATCAACTCCGGAATGGTGTAACGGCTTTAACATTGCCGCCTTTCACAGCACGTGATCGCGGCAGCTCGGGGTTCGACTCCCCGTTCCGGAACTCTTTTTGCTGACTTGCAACTTTTTTGTAATAATGTAAGTAAGTAATTTGTTACATAGTGTTACACTTATACATAATACGACTACTTATTACAGAGCGGCGGGGGAGCCTGAGGGTGATAGATGTTGACTCCTCCTCCTCGGGGACTCAGAGGAAGCGCTTGATCTGATCAATGGTATCGGGTACTCGTCGGAGAGAGTAGCGTTGAGCGGGTCACCAGTCAAGTAGGCCGGGGCGGGTGGCGGAGAGACTGTAGGCGAACGGCCGCCTCCAGCTGGCGAGAACGTGAGCGGGAGATGGCGACGACGACGACGATGACGACGACGAAGAACGTACGGGGTGAGGGCTGGCTCACGATGGTGGGGTCGATTACTGTGCTGGAATCGGGGCTGAGAGTCGGGATAGCAACAGAGCGCTCCAATTTGCGCTTGAGAGATCTGTCTGTCCTGATAGCGGTGCGCTTGACGGCTGGGGTGTGATGGTCGGTGAACACGTGAAGGAGGAGCTCCTGGAGGTGAGGGGCAAGGGAAGCGGTATGGCGGCGGACACGTTCCTCGGGGGGTATTTTGGGGGAGCACTGTCGCACTCTTTTTTTGCGGGGGGGAGTGCGGACCATGACGGGAAGAGGCAAGTGGAGGCGTTCGGAGGGGGCGGAGGAGGAGAGTTTATAAAGCATGGGAGCGGGCTGTCGCACGATGCATGGAGGGCGGATGTCATCGCTCAACGTGGACGGCGACGGAGGGTGTGCCCAAACGGGAGGGACGCGTGCACCGATCGACTGTGTCGATCGAGTCCAGCACAGGACAAGCCTCTGGATGTGCGCGCGCCGCATGGCACGGTGAACGGGGCAGGCAGGCGCGGGCGGGAGGGGAGCTACAACCAAAGCACTGGTCAGAGGCGGGGGCTGTCGTGGGAGGGGCGTCTACGGACTCGGACTCTGCATCGAGGAATGGGGAATGTCGGGTGTATGACAAGAGCTAGACGGAAGTCAGGGTCAAGTGGGCTCGAGGGACGAGCGTCTTGGTCCGGAAGAGGAGGGCGGGGATGTCGTCAGGAACTATCAGGAAGGGCGGGACGCGGGTCGACGATGCGATTGCGGCTGAGGTGTTTGTCGCAAGTTGTCGCGTCGAACTCGCGCCGCCTCACCCCACGTGATCGCGCTCGTCGTGGTTCACAGCGACAATGAACTGAACGTTCACATCGACCACTTCGTCGTCTCTCTCTCTGCTCACCTCATCTATCCTGACTTCACCCTCACTACTTCGGGGCTCAATCTCTAATTTCTCCCTGATCACACCTTGCCCTCCTCTCCTCTCCTTTCCTCGGTTCAAAAGCACTTTGCGTGGTGGACCTCATGAATGTCTACATCCTGGATCAAACGAAAGACACGCCTCGCCACCCTTCTTCAAAGCCAAGGAGATGAGCAAGCCGACGGACTTGCTCTCGATCGGCTGCTACACGGCCAGTCCGTTATCGGTCGCACTCGTACGTTCCTTCCCCCCTTGTTCAATCCACACCCTGACCCGCCGTCCAGCCAAGACCGCGGAGGTCGACTCCCTTCGATTTACCCAGAACGACCTCGCCGTGGTCGGAACCCTCGAATACGGCCAATTCTCCGTCGTGCGTTCCTCTCCACCCTCAACCCGTACTCGATACCTATCGAATCCTGCATAGATTGACGTCGTCAACTGCAACATAAACGGCCGCGTTTACATCCGCAAGACAATCGAGAAACGCTTCGCCTACAAAACCCGCGATGTGCGTCGTCCTCGCGTCCTCTTTCCTAATGCCACCCGAACCCCGTTCTTCGTCCACAGCAATGCAATCCGCAACTGGAGCGCGATATCCTCCTCCGCGCCAAAACCGCGGGAACGCAATGGGCTCCCCACTTGCTGTGCGCATTCCAATCTGACACTCACCTTAACCTCGTCATGGACTATGCCGAAGGCGGGACCCTTTGGGACGTGCTCGAATCAAGTCCGGACGAACGAATACCGGAAGACGACCTGCGCTGGTGGTTTCCGCAGGTCGTCTCCGCCATCGCCTGGTGCCACGGCCAAGGTTTCGCTCACAGGTTCTTGTCGCCGTGTTTGCCCCCCATCCTCCCCCACTCACCACGGCCACTTCCAGGGACGTCAAGCCCCACAATTTCGTACTCACGCAGACATCGCACGTACAACTCATAGACTTTGGGTCCGCCGCGCCCTTGCTTCCTCCCCAAAGCGACGGCTCCCGTTTAATCCCCCGAGAACACTGTCTCGTTCCCTGCGGAACCTGCGACTATATCTCCCCGGAGATTCTGCAAGCGCATGAAGCGGCGCTCGTCGCGATGGAGATGACCGAGGAGGAGGACGTGCCCGTCGAACTCGACAGCAGCTCAGGCGTTAACCCCTACGGTGCGGAAACGGACTGGTGGAGCATGGGCGCTATGTTGTACGAGATGGCGTATGGCGCCGCTCCCTTTTTCGCGAACGACATTCGAACTACGTACCTCAAGATCGTGGACTTCAAGAAAAGCTTGAAGTTCAAATCCGGCCTCGCCGTGTCCGCCCCTCTGCAAGATCTCATTCGCCGGTGCGTCCACCGCCATCGCCATCCCGATGTCCACACCTGACGCGTTCCTCAGGCTCTTGACGGATTCGCACAAGCGTCTGGGGCGACGAGGGGTAGAACAAGTCAAAAGCCATCCCTTCTTCGGCGACCCGCCATGGACTGACCTTCATCGTCGTGAGTTTTGCATGGACCCGAACCTTACTCTCCTCGTTCATCCCGCTCTTCCAGTACCTCGCCCCGAAAACCTTCACCTACCCATCTTCGCATACAATCAACCTCCCCCTCCCCCTCCTGAGGCCGTCCCCGCCCTAGACTCCTCGGGCTCCGGTTCTGGCTCTGGCTCCTCCTCGTCCGACCACTCCCAAGGCTTCGCCTTCTCCGCCTTCTTCCAGCCCTCCCAAGAAAGCTCCCCCGGCCTTTCCATCCTCCGCTCCGCCCCCCGACCCAACAAATCCATCCTCCGCGAGCAAGCCGCGACCTTCTTCATCGGGTTCTCCTGGGGATCCCCCAAAGACGCGTTCCCGTCCTCCTCCCTCTCCCCACCCACGCAGCCGCACCAAACCCAAACCCAAACCCAAACACCCCGGCCGCTCCCCACCCGCCACCTTACACCCACCCCCTTCCGCACCCTCCCCCCCTCCGCAACGCCCCTCCGCTACCCTTTCGCGACACCCCACAAACCCGCCCAGACCACCCCAAACGGCTTCTCCACCCTCCCCCGCGCCAGCACCGTGCGCCGCACCGCCCCCCGTCGCGCCGTCTCCGACCGCGAAGCCATGCGCCAGCTCGTCGACTGCATCGGCATGAGCGCACAAAAAAAGGTCCTCGCCGCCGGACGCACGCCCCGCACGATCGGACGCACACCCGCAGGCGGGAGCCTGCGCCGTCTCGGCTTCGCACTCGGACCCAACGGGGGCGGCGGCACGACGAAATCGCTACGCTTCCTCCCCGCGCCCATCGAGATCGGACACAACTCGCACCGGCGCGACGTCGCCGTGGGCGAGGACACGACGGCCGGCTCGAGCGTGGACGCATCGGGCCGGGTGCTGGACTGGAACATGGCCGCGTCCGCGTCCGCGAGCGAGAGCGAGAGCGACGGGATCCCGCCCAGTCCGAGTCCGAGCCCGCG